CAAAAATGTTTTTTTTTAACAAAAATGTTTAAGCTTATCTGGCTCTCCCATGTTTTATTCCAAGTAGAAAGTATAAACCAGACCATACCTCCCACAGTTCACCTGGAAATCTCATCATCTACTATCTCATTTGTTCCACTTTCCACATTCGTGTTACCGCAGGTGACAGCGTTGCTAAACTTTCTGACTCTGTGGAGTAAGAATGCTCTTCCTCCTTCCCATAGCCTGGACCCTACTTTTCATTAAGCTCTTAACAACAACCTCCAAAAGGGTCACAGGTGCCCACTAACTGTCATTATAAGACCTTTCCAACTCAGCTGCCCCAAAACTACTACCTCATTCTCTTTGTTATGCAGCACCTCACCCACTCCCAGGTATCTAAATCTATTCTAGGTACTATAGTCTAATAATAAATTATCTAAAATTTTAATAGCTTAAACAACAGTTTAACGTGCTTTTGTATTCTAAGGACAGGAATTCAGGCAAGGCATGGCAGGAGTGGCTTGTCCCTGTCCTCATGATGACTAAAGGACTCCACTGAAGGTTTTTCAGTAAAGGGCAACCACCATAATACCAGAAATAGAATAAATATTTTTTGAATCAATAGGAGAAAATTCAGTCTCTTCCATGCAAATAAATAAGAGACACAAAAAGAAAAAATAGATAGTAAATGGAATATATGAAATAAAATGGTATGTCAGTGCTAATACAACAACAATTAAAAATAAATGTAAATAGGTGATTTTTGCCAACTGAAAGTCAGAGACTCTCATTTTTGGTTCATAAAAATAAATTCAACCAAATGTTATATAGGTGAGACATTTTTTTTAATTCTTTTTTTAAATTTATTTATGATAGCTACAGAGAGAGAGAGAGAGAGAGGCAGAGACACAGGCAGAGAGAGAAGCAGGCTCCATGCACCGGGAGCCCGACGTGGGATTCGATCCCGGGTCTCCAGGATCGCGCCCTGGGCCAAAGGCAGGCGCCAAACCGCTGCGCCACCCAGGGATCCCTAGGTGAGACATTTTTAAAACAAGAAAGCACAGGGGCACCTGGGTGGCTCAGTGGTTGAGCTTCTGCCTTTGGCTCAGGTCATGATCCCAGGGTTCGGGGATCAAGTCCCACATCAGGTTCCCTGCAGGGAGCCAGCTTCTCCATCTGCCTCTCTCTCTGTGTTTCTCGTGGATAAATAAATAAAATCTTTTAAAAAAAAAAAAAAGAAAGAAAGCACAGCTTGGAAATGAAAGGATGGAATATAACAGACAAGTGTGAACCAAAACAAACTTAGGAAAGTAATCCTCATAGACAAAATAGAATTTAAGGCAAAATGTTTCATGAGAAACAAAGATAAGTGAAAAATAAGCAATAAAGAGGATATAATTATCAAAACTTCTGCTTTAACAGCCTCAAAGTACATCAGCCAACAACTGACAGAGATAATGAATGAATAATTGTGATAGGAGATTTTAACATTCCCCACTGAGAAACCAAAAGGTCAAGCAAGTAGAGAATCAGCATAGATGATGAATAAAAGAATAAGCTTGGGCAGCCCTGGTGGCTCAGCGGTTTAGTGCTGCCTTCAGCCCAGGGTGTGATCCTGGAGACCCAGGATTGAGTCCCACGTTGGGCTCCCTGCATGGAGCCTGCTTCTCCCTCTGCCTGTGTCTCTGCCTCTGTGTGTGTGTGTCTCTCATGAATAAATAAAATAAAAATCTTAAAAAAAGAATAAGCTCAAATAATTATACATATACATGTATGTATACACATTTATGCATACTGAACAGATACTACCCATTATTTTTTAAGAAAACATCAAGCATTTGTAAAGATAAAGCATATATGATTGCAAAACATCATAAATAAGTTCCATATGTTCAAAATCATATATGGACATAACTCATTTTATTGTGCTTCACTTTACATGCTTCACAGATACTGTGTTTTTTTCAAATTGAAGGTTTCTGGCAATCCTGAATCAAACAAGTCTGTTGGCACCATTTTCCTAACAACATTTTCTCATTTCATGTCTCAGTGTCACATTTTGGTCATTCTCACAATATTTCAAACATTTTCACTATTATTATATTTCGTAGGGTCATATCTGATCAGTGAGTATGACCTGCAGAAAGCTCAGATGATGTTCAGCATTTTTTAGCAATAAAGTACTTTTTAATTAAGGTATATACATTGTTTTAGACATAATGCTGTCGGACACTTAATAGACTGTAGTGAGGTATAAACATAACTTTCGTATACACTGGGAAGCCAAAACCTTTACTTGACTCACTTGTGATATGCACTTTATTGTGGTGGTCTGGGACCAAACCAACCACATCTATTAGGTATGCCTTGTAGGTAATATTTTTTGCCCAAAATGAAATAAAAGTAAATAACAAGAGGGGCGCCTGAGTGGTTCAGTTGGTTAGGCATCTGCCTTTGGCTCAGGTCATGATCTCGGGGCCCTGGGATCAAGTCCTGCATCGGGCCCTCTGCAAAGGGTAGGGAGTCTGCTTCTCCCTCTCCTCTGCCCCTTCCCCATTCTCTCTCTCTCTCTCTCTCTCTCAAATAAATAAACAATCCTTTTTTAAAAAGTAAATGACAGGAACCAAGATGGCAGCTCCCGTGGATCTGGAGTTGAAGAAGGCCTTCACAGAACTTCAAGCCAAAGTTATTGACACTCAACAGAAGGTGAAGCTTGCAGACATACAGATTGAACAGCTAAACAGAACGCAAAAGCACGCACATCTTACAGATACAGAGATTATGACTTTGGTAGATGAGACTAACATGTATGAAGGTGTAGGAAGAATGTTTATTCTTCAGTCCAAGGAGGTAATTCACAGCCAGCTGTTAGAGAAACAGAAAATAGCAGAAGAAAAAATTAAAGAACTAGAACAGAAAAAATCCTACCTGGAGCGGCGTATGAAGGAAGCTGAGGACAACATCCGGGAGATGCTGATGGCTCGAAGGGCACAGTAGGAAATCTCCAGCCGAAGCTTCCTGCCCCCTCCCATTCCTGGCAAGGGCAGGTGGGGGGCCCACGTGGAGAAACTTCTCTTCTGCCCGGGTGGACTTTTTATTTGGATGATATCATAACCCTGTGTTTTCTACTTCACCATGATACTCTTTCAGACCCCAGTTCTGTATTTTTTATCCTGGCTCTGTCTGCCACCCCTGTCCAGAACACTTTTCTCCCTGGGGGTGAGTCACAAACTCCCAGGAGAGGGAGATGGGAGCCATACAGAAGGGGAGCTCTGCCCAAGCCTATGAACTAGTTATGCTCCTTAGACCAATAAAAGGTATGTGTTCCCTCCCCCCCTCAAAAAAAAAAGTAAATGACAAAAGAGTAGCCTAAGGTTCTAAATACACTAAATGACTTATTGCTGAGTTACCCTGGCGTTAAAAATAAAACTATAAAGAGTATTAAGAAACACACCAGAACATGACAATGATAACAGTGAATATCAAAAACTTGAGGGGCATCAAAAATTAGATGAAGACTTAATTTTAAATACATTTATAGGGAGACTGGAAATGTTAACAAGTAGGAAAGCTAGGTAACCATTTAGCTCAAGAAAATAGAAAAAGAACAGATTAAAAAACAAGAAATTTGAAAGGATGGAAAAAAATAAAAATAAATGAAGAAATCAATCTAAAAAATAGATTTTAAAAAACCAGTAAGGATTAACAAAACTAAAAACTAAAAGCTAACCCTTTGAAAAGATTAATTAACTGGACAGATCTCCCTAATAAGACTCACCAAGGGGAAAAAAAGAAGAGAAGAAATATGTAAATAAAATATAGAAACCAAAAAAAATACTGTTATGGCAGAAATTTAAAAATAATAAATTTCTAGATATAAATTCCAAAATCAGCTCAATAAATAAAAAAAAACTTCAAAAGACTGATAAGGACTGATAAAACTGAAGTGCCTCCAAAACTCTACACCAGCTCTGGATGGAACTTCTCTTTATTCCTGGAAACAGCGCCCCTCATCCCTGGAAGGAAGTAATAATGTCATCAACCAGCAGAGGGCACAGGACCCTGGGCATTCACGCGAGGCCATATTCTGCACACTGTGATCAGGCCTGTGATGAGCCATCCTGCCCAGAGTCCTTTGGGAGACTGATATGAACAAGGAGAAAAAGTGAGTTTCTCTCCTTCTGATATCACATAACCAGTCAGAACCAAATGACCTGGAGCTGCAGTCACCACCTTTGTCTCCACCATACAGGCTAAAGCAGGAAAGCTGAATAAAGAGCTTAAAAAGAAGTTTTTTTTAAAAAGAGAGCGACATGGCACCCAACTTGGAACCCCTGGATCCAGCCAAGCCTGAAGGCCTCCCCACCCTTCAGAAATCTCCTCCATGAGACCCAATATATATTCTTTTTCGCTTTAAAAAAGTTTGTTGTCTGTCACTTCCAATCAAGACAACTAATAAAAATGCAGAAAGAGGGAAGGTGCTAGACTTTCGAGCGGAACGGTCTTGGATTTGAATCTCAGGGGAAGCTCTCACTTGAGCTCCGTGTGCCTTAGTTTCCTATCTACACAGAAGTGATAATAACAGTATCTACTTTGTAATGTCGTTGGAAGATTAGATGAGATAATCCGTGGGAAGCACTTGGTTGCTTTTCTTCCATGTCTCTTTCCTACCAGAAGGAGGTCCCACTGGAGGCAGGACCTCGCTAGACTCATCCCCGGCCCACACTTAGCACCGGGTTCTCCACAGGTGTCTGTGCCACTGGGCCAGTTAAGGGCACCTGTGGCTTCCGTGCCAACTGCCGCCAGGCAACCACAAGCAGTGACGCAACTTCAGGCTCATTTTGATATTAAAAATACAACGTCAGGGAACTGAACGCAGAGGAAAGTTAACTTGCAGCATTGCTGTGTTTGCTCAAATGTCCTGGAAAAGACTCCCATTGGTTAATGTCTGGGGGGAGGGGACCACCAAATGGTGAAGGCCACTGGCCCCCCTCTAACCATTAACCAGCAGGGAAGCTGGCAAACAAGATTTAGCGGTGGTGCCCCGCAGGCCTACTGTACACATACTAGGACCCAGGACAGCCGGGCGAGCCAGCGGTTGCAGCCTGAGCCCTCTGCAGACCGTGAGTAGCACCTGGACACTGTCCATCCCTCCTGCTGCTGCCCGGCTGCCAGAATGAAGCCATGTACCTCTTGCTCATTTGATTTTGTTAATGGGCACTGAGCAGTAGGGCAACCAGCAGTGACCTAAGGCCGGGTGTATGAGCAGTGACATGCAGAGGGTCTCACAGTCCGCGGGTCACCCCTGGGGGTTTGATTCCCCCCGGCCTGCAGCCTTGCAGGGGTTGGCACTGAGCTAAGAGCCATTCCCATTCGTTGCTCCACTGATGCTCCAAAGCCCAGCCAAGTAACACAAGCGAGACTGACAGCTGGGCGGGATGGCCGCAGGGCAGCACCCCTGCTGGGGGGTGCAGGCAGGGACAGTGTGCCCACTGGCACAGTGGACTGTGCATGCCTCAGCCTCGCACACGCCTGCTCCTCGCTGGTCCACCTGGGGCGAGGATACTGCAGATGGAACAGGATGCCTTGCATCACACCACATGTCCTGAGGCTTAAGTGCAGAAGGCCCAAGACTCTACCCCGCCCCTAGGGGTGTTCATGAAAATAAAGAAGACAGGGGATCCCTGGGTGGCTGAGAGAGTGAGTGCCTGCCTTCGGCCCAGGGCATGATCCTGGAGTCCCGGGATCGAGTCCCACGTCGGGCTCCCTGCATGGAGCCTGCTTCTCCCTCTGTCTGTGTCTCTAACCTCTCTCTCTGTGTCTTTCATGAATAAATAAATAAAATCTTAAAAAAAAAAAAGAAAAGAAAGAACCCAGTGGACATTTACTTGGAGCCTCATTTCAAAAATGAGAGACAAGAGAACATAAGTGAAACTCATGAAGAATATCAATATTTTGCATTGTAATTTTGCTGGGTACTTTGTGGAGATCTGCTTGACTCTTGTTGCTTTGCTTTCTCTAGAGAACGGTAGAACGACATGGCACAGGCCCTGAGGCCAGGCTGTAGGGCTTAGAATCTCAGCTCTCAACAGGTTACCCTCTACCTCCCTGGGCCCCAGTCTTCTCATCTGTAAAGTGGGCCCAGGATGACCCGCTGAACGAGGCCACATAGGAAAGTACTCATAACCACCGTGCCTGATTTTCATGACAATCTCGGGAGCTGGATGGAGTTTTCATCCTTACCTTGGGGGGTTGACACAAAAGGGGATGAGGTACGAAATCCCAGAGGCAGCAGGAAGAGGAGGGGAAAGCAGAACTCGTAATGGGGCAAGTGCACCTGGCTTGGGGCTGCACGCTGGACCAGGTCCTTGCCCAAAAGGGCTCCAGACAGCTGTGAAGGGGACAGGGATAGCAGAAATATCACTGCAGTGTGATGGGGGAAAGGGGGACCACCACAGGGAAGCACAGAGAGCAAGGCTGTTGGAGGAGAGCTGGGACCTGTGTCTCCAAGGACACAAGGCAGTGAGCCGGGAAAGGTGGGGAAGGGATGGCCCTACAGAGTGGAGTCACACAGACAGGATGGGGGCAGGTCCATCTTTGTCCCTAGCTCCCGGGTCAGAGCCAAGCTCCATAATCAAGGAACTGAGATGACCTGCCCTGACCTTGGCAGTGGGATGATAATCTGGTGTGTGCTGGAAGAAACCTCAACACACCTGGCAGTGCTGTGCCTCAGCCCTCAGGGGCCAAATTAGACGCTGGGGTGGGGCTGTCACCAGGCATGGAGTCATGCAGACCCCATAGGCCACGTTAGTGAGGACCAACCCCTCCTGGAGTTAGTGTTTAATGGGTAGACTTCTGGTTGAGATGATGAAGTTCTGGAGATGGATGGCGGTGGTGGCTGCACATCAATGGGAATGTACTTAATGCCACTATACACTTAAAAATGATTAAAATGATCAATCTTTTGGACTTGAGTTTTACATACTCTGGATGTTAATCCGTTATCAGATATGGGCTTGGCAAATATTGTCTCCCATTTTGTGGGTTGCCGCTCTGTTGATAGTGCCCTTTAGTGAACAAGAGTTTTTAATTTTAAAGAGTCCAATGAGTCTAATTTTCCTTTTGTTGCTCATAACTTTAGTGTTGTGTCCAAGAAATCATCACTAAATCTAGTGTCATAAAGCTTTCCCTCTATGTTTTCTTCTGAGTTTTATTTCGTCCTTACATTTAGGTCTTTGATCCACTTTGAGTTCATTTTTGCATGTGATGTAAGGTAAGGGTCTAGCTTCATTCTTCTGCATGTGGATAATCCAGTTTCCCATCATTTGTTGAAAAGACTATTTTTTTTCTCCCACTGAATAGTCTTAGCACCATCATCAAAAATCATTTGACCATATATATACAAGGGTTTATTTCTGGGATCTCCATTCTACTCCATTGGTCCCCATGTCTGCCTTCATGCCAGTACCACCCTGTTTTGATTATTGTAGTTTTATATTGAATTTAAAAATCAGGAAGTGTGAGATCTCCAACTTTATTCTTTCTCGAGACTATTTTGGAAATTCAGGGTCCCTTGAGATTCTCTATGAGTTCTAGAGTGGATTTTCCTATTTCTGCAAAACGCTTCATCGGGATTTCGACTGCATCGAATTAGTAGATTTCTTAGGGTGACACTGACATCTTAAGTATTCCAATGCATGAACACAGCATGCCTGTCCATGTATTAATCTCTTAATTTCTTTCAGCAATGTTTTGTAGTTTTTAGAGCACAAGCCTTGTACCTGCTAAGTTAACTCCTAAGTATTTTATTCTTTTCGGTGCTATTGTAAATGGAATTGCTTTGTAAATTTCCTTTTACAGTTTGTTCAATTGTTGGTATATGAAAACAGAACTGATTTGTATGTGTGTGCTGATTTTGTAGCCCGCTACTTTTCTGAATTTATTTCTTTGCTCTTGCAGGGTTTTTGTGGAAACTTTAGGGTTTTCTACATGTTGCTGTGATGTTGATCAGGTTGCCTATGAACAGAGATCATTTTATTCCTTCCTGTCCAGTTTGGATGCCTTTTATTTCTTTTTCCTGCCTACTCTCTCTTGCTAGAACTTCCAGTACTGTGTTAAGCAAGAGGCAAAAGTAAGCATCCTGCCCTGTTCTGAATCTTAGATGAAAGCTTTCAATCTTTAACTGTTACATTAGCTATGGGCTTTTCACATATTTTTTTATTATATTGAAGTAGTTTCCTTTTAGCCTTAGTTTGTTGAGTGTTTTTATCTTGGAAGGATGTGTTGAATTATGCCAAATGCTTTTTCTGCATCAAATGAGATGATCATGTTCTTTTTTTCTTCATCCTGTTAATGTAGTATAGCACATTGGTTGAGTTTTGTATGTAGAACCATCCCTGTATTCCAGAAACAAATCCCATTTGGTCATGTAGTATAATCATCCCTTTAATATGCTGATGAATTCTATTTGATAGTATTTTGTTGAGAATTTTTGCATCAATGTTCATAAGCAATATTCATCTGTACTTTTCTTTCCTTATAGGCTCTTTCTCTGATTTTGCTATCAGGGCAATGAACAAGTTAGGAAGTGTTCTCTCCACTTTGATCTTTTTGGAAGGGGGATTCATGTGAATTCTTTAAACATTTGGTGGAGTTCAACAGTGAGGCCATATGGTCCAGGGCTTTCTTTGTTAGTGGATTTTCAATTAATGATTCTTTTTTTTTTTTACTATGTATAGATCTATTCAGATTTTCCATTTCTTGTGATTCAGTCTTGATATGTTTTGTGATTCCAGAATGTTTTTTTCATGTTATCTAGGCTATCCAGTTTGTTGGTGTGTAATTTTTTCCATAATATTCTCTTATAATCCTCTTTTTAGAGTTTATTTATTTTTACTTTAAAGATAGAGTTGGGGGGAGGGGCAGAGGAAGAGAAAGAGAATCTCAAGCAGACCCCCTGCTGAGCACAGAGCCCAGTGCCGGGCTTGATCCAGGAACCCTGAGATCATGACCTAAGCCAAAATCAAGAGTTGGGCATTTAACTGACTGAGCCACCCAGGTGCCTCTCTTATAATTCTTTTAATTTTTGTAGAATTGTTAGTTTTAGTCCCCATTTTCATTTCTGGTTTTAGTAGTTTGAGACTTTTCTTTCTTTCTTACTTAATTTAGCTAAAAGTTTGTAAATTTTGTTCATCTTTTTCAAGACCATATTATATTGTATATCATCATACTATATTATACTATAATGATTAGGTAGATTTTGGTTTTATTGATATTTCTAGTCTTCCTATTCTCTATTTTATATGTCTCTGCTTTAATTTTTATTGTTTCCTTCTGCTACCCCATTCTCTTTTGGTGACTATTTAATTGGAATATCTTTTTCCATCTTTCCACTTTCAAATTTCTTTGGCTCTAGAATATGTCTCCTATAGTCAGTATATAGTTGGATCACTTTTTAAATCCATTCTGCTGGGGATCCCTGGGTGGCTTGGCAGTTTCACGCCTGCCTTTGGCAATCCTGGAGTGCAATCCTGGAGTCCCAGGATCGAGTCTCTTGTCAGGCTCCCAGCATGGAGCCTGCTTCTCCCTCTGCCTGTGTCTCTGCCTCTCTCTCTCTCTCTCTCTCTCTCTGTCTATCAAAAATAAATACAAATAAATCTTTAAAAATAAATAAATAAATAAATAAATAAATAAATAAATAAATAAATAATAAATCCATTCTGCTGATCTCTGTCTTTTGATTGGGGAATTTTATCCATTTACATTTATAGTAATTGCTGATAAAGAAGGGCTTCTACCATTTCCTATTTGTTCTCTTACAGATTTTTTTGTCCCTCATTTCCTGCATTACTATCTTCTTTTAGGTTTAGTCTATTTTTTTTTGTAGTGAAACATCTTAATTCCCTTCTCACTTCTTTTTGTGAACACTCTATAGCTATTTTCTTTCTGGGTATCACAGAAATTATATTTAACATCCTAAAGCTATAACACTCTCATTTGAATTTATGCCAGCTTAACTTCAGTAGCACACAAAAGCCCCTCTCCTATGTAGCTCCACCCACATACACATCCTTTTAGTTATTTAAGTCACAAATTACATCTTTATTCATTGTGTATCCAAAAACATAGACTAATAATTGCTTTTCATGGAATAGTCTTTTAAATATATCAAAAATTAAAGTGGAGTTACCAGGCAAAATTACAATAATATGAGTTTTTCTAATTGTTCATATGTTTACCTTTACCAGGGATTTTTATTTCTTCCTATAGACTGTATTTACTCTCTCGTGTCCTTTTCATTTCAGCCAGAAGGACTCCCTTTAGAATCTCTTGTAGGGTGAGTTTAGTGGTAATGAACTCCCACAGCTTTTGTTTATATGAGAATGTCTAGACTTCTCCCTCATTTTTTAAGGATGGTTTTGCCTGATCCAGGATTCTTGGTTGACAGTTTTTTTTTCTTTCAGTCCTTTGAATATTTCAATTTGTTGCATATATAACCTTTCTGGGTCTCCATTTCTGCCTACCTCAATTCATAATAATAATATCTATTTTAGTAGCCTATTGATGAGGATTAGATGAGAAAATATAGGCAAAACACATAGGTCAGTGGTGGGCATCTGGGAGGTACTTGATAAATCATAGCAGTATAATCATACTTTCAGATGAGGAATTTGAGGTCCAGGGTCCTGACTTGTCCCAGGTCACATAGCCAACGTGGAGGAAGGAACTGAGACTTGAATGGGATCCTCCATAGGGTCTTCTGCCTACCATTTCACCATGCCCCCACTGCCTCAGAGGCCCTACATTACCTAATGAGCATTCCTGATTTTCCAGGGCCTGATCATCCTGGACAATGCTGCTTGCTCTGTGCACCTATTTCCTCTGGCTGTCTACCAGTGACCTCTTGACTGTCCAGGCGAAGGACCCAGATACTGATGTGAGCACAAGTAGCTCTCACCGGGACTTGGCTCCAAAGAATGTTGACTTTGCCTTTAACCTGTATAGGCATCTAGTGGCTTCATCTCCTGACAAGAATGTCTTTATCTCCCCTGTGAGCATCTCCATGGCCTTAGCTATGCTGTCTCTGGGTGCCTGTGGCTATACCCGGGTCCAGCTTCTCCAGGGCTTGGGCTTCAACCTCACCAAGATGTCTGAAGCTGAGATCCACCAGGGCTTTCGGCACCTCCGCCACCTCCTCGAGAAGTCAGACACCATGTTGGAAATGACTATGGGTAATGCCTTGTTCCTTGACCGCAGCCTGGAGCTCCTGGAGCCATTCTCTGCAGACACCAAGCACTACTATGATTTGGAGGCCTGGGCTACAGATTTCCAGGATGGGACTGGAGCCAGCAGACAAATCAATGAGTACATCAAAAATAAGACACAAGGGAAAATTGTAGACTTGTTATCGAAGCTGGATAGTTCAGCCATGCTCATTCTGGTCAACTACATCTTCTTCAAAGGTACCCTTCTACCCATCTCATTGCCAAGAATAGTAGGAGTCATTAAAACCCAGGGTGCATTCTTGGGCAAAGCCTTTGATTTTACAAAGCATGTTTTCATCTGTGAATCTCCATCTTTACCATAATCCTATTTGGAAGGTAGACTATATCCTCTTACATGTGATCAAAATGACACCCAAAAGAATTGACCAACTTGCCCAAGCTCATGTAGGTTCATTTGAAGCTCAACTATGTAATCATGGATAGACTGACTGCCTCATGGTCTACAAATATTGGCTGAGTTCTGGCTGTGAGTCAGTCAGGGGCTGGAAGCCCAGCATAGAAGCAGACAGACACAGCCCACCCAGACAGACACAGCTCCTGCCGCCCCCCAGGAACTCCCCTAGATTGCCCCTATGCCACACGCTTCCCCAGCGCTAACAGCCAGCTCTGACCAAGCTCCAAACTCCAGCCCTTCCTCACCAATTTGGAGTAGGGTTTTCCAAAGTTCTTGTTCATAAAATTACCATTTCAACTTGTTAAAATTAGAGATTCCAGAGCCCATGCCATACCTACTGAGGCAAAGCTCCTGCAAGCAAGTCCTAGAATTTGTATTTTTAACAAGGCCCCTCCCCCAATCATTTTTATGATCAGACAATTTGGGGATACATTGTCCTTGAGAAGAAAATCTACACCCCTTAGTCTATAGCACTGGTTCTCAACCCAGGGTGACCTCCCCCCCCTTCTAGCCTCAGAGACGCTTGGCAATGTCTACAGATACTTGGAGCTATCACAATTGAGGGTGAGGTGGGGTGTGTTCCTGACACCTAGTAAGTAGAGGCCAGGGAGGCTGCCAAACCTCCACCTGCTGGACAGCACCCCACAATGATATCTGCTCCAGAATGGCTATCATCCCAAGGCTGAGAAACCCTAGCCTAGAGTCATCTGCTTCTCTGTTCCTCTCCAGCCTCATGTCTCAACACTTTCTCTCCTCCAAGTTCCCAACACACAGCGCGTGCGCTCGCGCGCACACACACAAACACACACACACGCATAGTGTGGAACCACACCAAATTTCTTCCAGGTCCTTGAGCATGACTGTCCTCATGGAAGCCTGAGTTAGTTCCCTATGGTTGCTGTAACAAATTACTACAAACATGGTGGCTTATCTTACAATTACGGAGGTTAGAAATCCAAAAATGGGTCACGTTGGGATAAAGTTAAAGTGTTGGCAGGGTGTGTTCCTTCTGGAGGCTCTAAGGGGGAACCTGTTCCTTGCCTTCCCCAGCTTCTGGAAGCCACCTTTGTTCCTTGACATGTGGCCCCTTTCCTCTTGAAGCCAGTAATCATATCCCCATGACCTCTCCTCTGCCCCTGCCCCTCCTCTTCCACTTTTAAGGAGACCCTTATGATGATACTGGGCCCATGTGGATAATCCAGAATAATCTCATCTCCAGATCATTTGATTAGGAACCTCAGTGTCCTATTGCCATGTAACATAACATAGTCAAAGCTTCCATGAATTAGGAAATGGGCATATTCGGAGGGCCATTCTGCTGCCACAAAACCTTTACTCTGTCGCCTGAGCCCTCCCTCAACTAGTCTATGCCTAAAACTTCTTCCCAGTCTTCAAGTCTTGGCCTTAATGTTACCTCATCCATGAAGCTTCCTTGATTCCCTCAGTCAAATCCTGGCTTCTCATCCATACCCCCTACAGTCTTCCCACACCTCATCTTAACAATCATCTTGTTAGACCTTGTAACCCTGGACCAACGTGGTTTGGTTTCAGTTAAATAGTCATATTCAAAGAAATGAATGTGAAAGAGGAAAACAAAAAGTAATGACCACATTTAACGTTGTATTTCTCAATAGCATTTAAGCTCATCCAGAGCACAGTCTCCAGAAATAATCTCTACACACCTTCCTTTTCTCCCCAGCTTCCACCACACCAAATTTCTTCCAGGTCCTTAATCATGACTGTCCTCATGGAAGCCTGAATTAGTTCCCTATAGCTGCTGTAACAAATTACTACAAACATGGTGGCTTCTCTTAAAAGAGGCCTCCCATGAGCCAGCAGCACCCTGCAGCTCTTTGTTACCTGTCAGACTTACCATCCTGGTGGGCGCCCCCTCCTTCCATCCTCCATCCTCTGCACAAGTCTGGGAACCCATCTGGTGGAGGCAGGCATGATGCTGACCTAAGAGGGTGTGAAGCTGACAAGACAAAGGCATCATTTTTTTCCTTCACCTTCACTAAGACATAATAGACTTATAACACTGCATAAGTTTAAGATGTACAATGTGATGATTTGATATATGCATAATTGCACAACGATTACCAAAATCATTTGGAGTTAACACATGCACCCCCTCCCATAGTTACCTTTGTGTGTGTGTGTGTGTGTGTGTGTGTGTGTGTTGAGAATCCATCAGGTGTGCTCTCAGCGACTTTGAGGATATGATACAGTGTTGTTGACTTTAGTTCCCACGCCTACGTTAGATCCCCAGAACTAGTTCATCTTATAACTAGTTTATAACTTTGATCACTTCACCCATTTCTCCCAACCTCCTGCCCCTGACAAACCATCATTCTACTCTGTTTTTACGAGTTCCAGAGTTCACATTCTACTTATAAGTGAGATCACTCAGTATTTGTCTTTCTCTGCCTGGGTCATTTCACTTACAATAATACCTTCAAGGTTCATCCATATCAACACAAATGGCAGGTTTCCCTTCTTGTTTGTGGCTTAATAATATTCCACTGTGTGTGTGTGTGTGTGTGTGTGTGTGTGTGTGTACTCACACACCATGTTTTCTTTATCCATCGTCCATCAGTGGACATTTGAGTTGCTTCCACATCTTGAATATTGTTCATAATGCTGTGATGGACAGAGGAGAACAGATGTCTCTATGAAACAGTGTGTGCATTTCCTTCTGATATGTTCCAATGAGCGGGATGGTTAGATCATATGGAATTTCTATGTTTAATTTTTTAAGAACCTCCACGGTATTTTCCAAGTACAGTTGGCTGCACCAGTTTACATTCCTACCAACACTGCAGGAGGGTTCCCTTCTCTCCACATCCTCACCAACCCTTGTTATCTCTCTACTTTTTGATACGAGCCATGTGCACAGGTGTGAAGTGATAAATCATTGTGGTTTTGATTTTATTTCCCTGATGACTAGTGATGTTGAGCACCTTTTCATGTACCTGTTGGCCATTTGCATGTCATATTTGGAAAAAGAAAATGTCTATTCAAGTTCTCAGCCCATTTTTAATTGAATTATTTGGGATTTTTTGCTATTGAGTTACATGAGTTCCTTAACCCTTTATCCAGTAGACAGTCTGCAAATATCTTCTCCCATTCTGTGGGGTGCCTTTCATTTTGTTGACTGTGTCTTTTCCTGTGAAGAAGCTTTTGATTTGATGTAGTCCCTCTTATTTATATCTTCTTTTGTTGCTTTTGGAGTCACATCCAAAAACTCAACACCAAAACCTCATTGATGTTGAGGAGCTTCTTTTTCCCTAGTTTTCTTCTAGGAGCTTTGTGGTTTCACACCTTGTGTTTAAGTCTTTAATCCATTTTGAGCTAACATTTGCAAGTCAGGTAAGATATGGTCCAATTTTTTTCTTCTGCATGAGCATCCAGTTTTCCTAACACTGTTTATTGAAGAGACTATTTTTAACCCATTGAGTAGTCTTGGCTCTCTTGTCAAATATAAGTTGACTGTATGTGCAAGGTTTATCTCTTGGCTTTCAATGCTGCTCCACTGGTTTCTGTGTCTGCTTTCATGTGAGTACCATACCCTTTTGATTACTATAGCTTTATAATGTAGTTTGAAATTGGAAGCATGATGCCTCTAGCTTTGTTCTTTCTCAAAATTGCTTTGGGTACTCAGGGTCGTTTATATTTCCATACAAAAGGCAACATTCTTTACCCTGACCACAGGAGGGTCAAGGAGCCTGGGAATGTGTGCCCAGAAATGTTCCTGGGTGCTTCCACAAATTCCACAGGTCATCTCTCCCACAGACTATGTGCTCATGCACAATATCCTTGTCTCTTTCAAGACCCCAGTGCCTTTGCACAGTGCCTGGGATGGGGAAGGAACTCCATAGTGTCTGCATAGAGATTCTGACATAGAGAAGGACAGTAAACCCAGGTACGAAGGGAGGGTACTCCTGATCCTGAGAGGGGGTTTGTGGGCCAAGTGCCAGCACATCATTTGTGGTGTCATTTGGCACAGGGCTTTCCTCTCACAGGTTGCCAGCATTCTCATGACCACACTAGGGCTGAGTTGATAGGAAATGATCGCTCCCAGTAATAAAATCAGAGAGGCTTTGGACTTCTGGAGGCAGGACCAGCCTCCAACCAGGCTCTGTGCTGCCTTGCTGTACACGGATTTTCTAGGATGCAGAAAAACTAACTGGCAGGCCCGTCCTTAAGCTGGGGATCCCCTACCATGCTTCCAGCAAGCCAGCAAAACAAATAGCAATGAGGAGTGACGTAGCTATCATCACTCAGCCTCAGACATGTAAAGAATCCCTGGCATGTTCCTTCCTTACTTAGTGAACTATCTTGACAATTTCTTTCTTTCTTTCTTCTTTCTTTCTTTCTTTCTTTCTTTCTTTCTTTCTTTCTTTTTTTTTGGAGAACATGAAAAATACAATTGAAAGATTTTCCATAGGAATCATGCTTGCTGTCTCCAATTTGCCTCCATAAATTCTTAAGCTTCCCTACCATGAGTTCTCCTGGGCGAAGAATTTTCAAGAAGAAATCCCTTAAAGGAGAGGTTAGGCCCAGCCTGCATTTTGTTTTGTGCCAAACCAGATATGGTACACTTTCTTCTAGAAAAGGAATACTCAGCAAAAAGCAAACAGCAAATTTTTAAGGATGAAAAACTTAACACTGAAAAATACACTCTTTTTTTTGTTGTTGTTGTTGTTTTTGCTGTGAATTGGACAAGTTAGCCACAACTGACCACCAGCCTTCAGCCTAGGAGATCCCAGACCTCTGGAGGATGGTTTGAGAACCTTCAGATTATCTCACCTGCTGTGAGGCAGCCAGACTATGACATCACATCAGTGATCAGGAACGGGGCAGACACAGCTCCTGGGCCTCCAGGCTCTGCCTCCACAGGCTTTCCCTTCATCCTCCTGCCTCTCCCTACTGCCTCCCTTAGTGGCCCTTACAGGGGATTGAGGCGGGCTCAGAATAAGAGTTCTGACCCTGGGGTCCCTAAATCCCAGGCAGTGTGATGGAGAAGGGTCTGCCTGGAGCTCTGCACCAGCCCCCCTCAACCAGCCTCAGTTGGGAAACAGCTGCCAAGGCCTCTGAGGTCAAAACAGCCAAGAGCCCCTGGACACACTGTCCTCACTCACCTCCAGAGCTGAGGTGTTAAACCTGGAGCACCAGAGGCCCTGGTGAGGTCAACTCATGTCTTTAAATATTCAGAGTCCTATCACCAGAGGACTCACAGTTGCTTGGAATAAACCCAGAGGGGCCGAAGAGGCTCAGCAGATGGGCCTCACTATCAGGCAGGCTTTGGCTCTAAGGAGCAATTTTCCTCCCATGAGAGCTGACCAGTAGCTGAAAGTCTAGTCTGTGAAGGTAGTGAGCTCCCCATCACGAGGCTGACAAAGAGGCTGTGTGATGCCACCCCGGAACACAGTAGAGGGATTCAAGCCCAGGGGAGGAGCTGTGGGGAGGAGGCTGTGACCTTGAAGGTGTCTTCTCACCCTGACTTTGCCTCCAGGAAATGTGGTGTGGCCCCTGGGGCCCCACGGGAGGTCAGGAGCCTCCCTCGGGGGAGGGGACACAACCCACCGGGCAGCTGGGCTTCTGCGGCCAGACGTCAAGGCGTGGGCATGAAATGCATGGTCTGTTTCTCCAAACCTCTCCCACCCCGACCTTGAATCTGCAGCCCAAGCTCCATTTGGCACCATTTCCGTCCAGAGCCTTCCTGCCCAGGATCTACTCCAGGCAGTTGCGGGGGAAGGGAGAGGCAAAGTCTGGTTTATTGAATCGTACCCCCAAATCTAAGGGCCAGCATTCTCCTTTGTCGCCCTTCTTCCATTTTTAGAGGCTCAGACACAGAATTAATCCTCAATCCATTTCGGAGAATGGAGGACAGAGGTGGCTTTAAAGTGCTGGGCATCTCACAACTTTCGAGGAAATCCTACCCACTCTGGTGGGGACCTCACAGGGAGCAGCCACCGTGACACCTGCTTAGCACTCTGCCACCACCCAAACTGCATTCTCCTGGGGCTCTCACGGGCCTGTCTCCTGCCACCCCCCTCCTTCCTCTCCAGGCACCTGGGAACACCCCTTTGACCCAGAAAGCACCAGGGAGGAGGACTTTTACGTGAACGAGACCACCGTGGTGAGAGTGCCCACAATGTTCCAGTCGAGCACCATCAAGCACCTTAACGACCAGGTGCTCCCCTGCCAGCTGGTCCAGCTGGAGTATATGGGCAACGGGACCATCTTCTTCATCCTCCCAGAGGAGGGGAAGATGGACACGGTCATCGCCGCGCTGAGCAGGGACACCATTCAGAGGTGGTCTGAGTCCTTTACCAGGAGGTAAGTCCTTCTCCTTGTCCCCACTGACTCACCCTGCAGGGCTCATATGTTTTCTTCTGAGGGTCCCCAAGGGCTTGAGGCTCTCTGACCAAGAGGTCACCTCGGTTTACCCGCCTGTTCATTGTCACTGAGATGCTTTAGGGCATTCCACAAGGGGAGGTCCCCCTCTCCTGGAAGGCTAAGAGACCCCTCTGCATTATCACATTTTTGCATCATTGGCTTAAACTGAGTTCCCCAACCCCCCAGCCCCTCGCTTATCTTTTTTTTTATTATCTTGCTTACCTGGATGGGTAAGCAAGATACATACCAAGTATGGGTAGGACTCCCGGCAGAGGCCAAAATCTAACGAAATGGCAGTCATGTCCATGACGGAAAGAGCACAAAGCCTATGAATGATTCTCAAGTCACTCAGGGGGGTAGCCCTTCTTCAATCTATCAATCCATCAGTAAATACGTAAGAAAGGAAAGGCATTAGTAGGTAATAAATGAGTAAAAGAAAGGGAGCGAGGAGTGTAAATGCAGAGGGGCTGGTGGTCGGGAGGAGAACCAGCCTGTGAATGCCCAACCTCAGGCCCACACCAGGGGCAGGTTCCGAGCACACACGCAGGGAGGCCTGGAATGAATGATGAATGAATGAGTGATTGAACCCATTGCCCCCAGGCACCCCTGAGCCAGACAGCGATTGAAATTATGGTGGAGCATGTGCGCAGCCCCAGCCCACTCCTTGGAGGAGGGGCCAGATGTTCGTGAACGTGATCCTCACTCTTGTGAGATTGCGTGTGCCCAAGCAATCAGAGCAGTGCCATCAGGGTGGGACCTGGTGGTGGCTGTGGTGGTGGAGACCCAAAGGGCGGAGAGGACACAGGAGGGGAAGCGGGCATTTGGATGTGCAGTGGCTCAGGAAGGCCTCCCGAGTGGACTATATTCCACTCCAGAGCAGAAAACCAGATTCTGGTGGAGCTGATGGTGTGCAGTGACGTCAGCTGTGTCAGAGCAGGAGAGGAAGTGTGATGCGGGAGGAAGGTGGGGAGGCCTGGCCACGAGCGCCCACGGAGGAGGAGAGGGCACAAACCAAACACAGGAGGCCGCACCCAGAGCACCAGCAGGGCCGGGCAGCAGCTGCCAAGAACAGGCAAATTCTACTTGAATGCAATTTGTCATCCGAGAGTTTTGCAGGCAAAAAAATCTAGAAAGAAGCTCTTCTACTTTAATACACATGCAGGTTTTGTGTTTTACGGTTTCCAGTTATTTTTATTTTGAGTTGCAGCCTCAGATTGCTGCTCAGCTGGAGCTTCTGGAGAGGTTGGTCCAATTCCATGAGTAGAGGCCCAGGCGCCTGCGAGTTGGACCTCACCCCTGCAGGGAGGAGCCGGGAGTTGGACTTCACCCCTGCAGGGTTGAGCTGAGTGGTCAGCTCCGTGTTTCCTAGAAACTGGCCACAGCCACGTGGGGACCCAGCAGTGTTGTTAGAGTCCTGGAGCCACCGCACCTAACCTTGAGCATGGGGGTGGGGGTCGGGTGGGTAGGCGTGCACGTGGGCCTGGTTTGGGCCTCGTGAGGGATCCCTGGCTGGCTCCTCACCACTGCAACTGCCCCGTCCCCCCCACACCCCTGCCCTTCCAAGGGAGCCTGTGATTCCAGAACAGCGCCGCCAGGGAGGTGATTATGTGCCGCTCCAGCTCCTACTCTTTTGTAAATGACAAGGATCATCTTTTTTTTTACACCAAAAATGATATTTTCACTAAAACACTTTAGCTTAAAAAACATCAATAACACATGCCATTTTCATCTAGATTTAAAAAAAATAATAAACATCCAAGGCAGATTCTTGTACCTTTAGGCGTCATATATGATTGGAGATGAATACTCTATCCAAATGACGCTCTCCTAGCCCCAGAAGGCAGACCCTGTGCTCCTCACCTCCGGGTCTGTCACGCCTCCTCCCGCCTCACCCCTCCCGGGATCACCTCCTCCCTCCCCGCCCTGAAGTGTCATCCCTCAGGGTCCAGCTAGCTCACCTCCTATGGAAGTCTCCTTGTCCCCACACAGAGCTGGTGGGTGCCCTCCCTCCCTCCTCCCTCCCTCCTCCCCCTCCCTCCCTCCTTCTCTCTGTCTCCTCCCTCCTTCCTTCTCCCTCCTCCCTCCTCCCTCCCTCCTTCTCTCTCTCTCCTCCCTCCTTCCCTCTCCCTCCTCCCTCCTTCCCTCCTCCCTCTCCCTCCCTCCCTCTACCTTTTCCCACAAGGCAATGGAGCTTTGAAGCAACGGGTCTGTGGCCTCTTCACAATTCTGCTGCTTCCCAGTGGTGTGACTTTGGGGGAATCCCTCAGCTCCTCTTGAGTTCTCTCTGTCTGGATACTGGCCCCAACTTCCCAGGGCTGCACGTGCATGTGTGCATTAGATTGTGACACAGAAGCTAAAGGAACCCACCCGGTGTTTGGTATCGGCCAGGATCCCCAACTGCCGTTTGCTCTTCTCCATCTAGAGGAGAAGTGCCCTTGTTGCCCTGCGTTGCCTTGCTGTGTAAATGAGGATGAGCACAGAGAGGGACAGAACTTGGTTAAAGCCACACAGCATTCGTGGCAAGGCTGGGGCCGGGGCCCTGTTCCCAGCGGGTGTTCCCTCCACTCCTCTGCTTCTGCCCTGGGGGTGCCTGGGGTACCCCAGGGGCTTCTGTAGGATTGCTTTTCTTCAATGTCCAGTGGTCCACCTAGACCACAGTGGAATCTGTTCAATGAAAAAGGCCCCGAGAGGAAGCTGCCTGAGTGATGCAGAGAGAGGTAAATCCTGCCTCTCATTCTGTCCTTTCCCCTTTTCCCCAAAGATCATGGTGTCTGGCTGTGAGGCAGGGTCTGGAGGGATCACAGGGGTAACAGAAGTCGGCTGGCTAGGCCCAGACCCAGGAAAATCTAACCCTGTCTGCTTACCCCCAAGCAGCCAGGTAAACCTGTACATCCCAAAGGTGTCCCTCTCTGGAGCCTATGACCTCAGGGCCATCCTGAGGGACATGGGCATTGCAGACTTGCTGGACAATGGGGCAGATTTCTCCGGCATGACCCGAGAGGCCCAGCCGAAGTTGTCAAAGGTAAGTGTCCTTAGAGCCCATCCTTTCCTTTCCTGTCTCATCTCCCCCCCCCTTATTATGCATAATAATAAGCAACACGGAGCCCACTCACGACTAGGTCTCTAAGCCCATGTACCCATTGTGTCAGGTCATACAGAGCGTGCAGTGTGGAAAACAGAGTGGTCATGGCAGGACCATGTGTGGCCCCTCACCAGAAAGGATCCAGGAACATGGGAAATGTCAGAATGAAGTCATATCACACCGTCTACCCACTACATTTTTTACCTTCAGTCTTTAGCTTCATGCTCTGTCGGTCACTCAGTCACTCAGCAAACGTTTATTGACACCCACTCTGCACCCCACACTGCGAGGCAATGGGTATTCCTCCAATACTGAGACATGGCCCTGCCCTCGCAGGGTCTCACGGTCATGTGGGTGACAAAACAAGAGAGGGGACAGGAGAAAGCCATCATGGCAGCAGCCCTTCCCACAAGCGCACAGATGTGGACCATCACGGTGCACACAGTATGTGCTCAATAAAACATATGGTATGCGAAGGATTGAGGCAAACAGCTGCCTCCTCATAGGGGGAGCATAACTTCTCCAAGGAGGGGCGTCTGGCTTGGCAAAGGTAGACCACTCGGCCTGGCCACACAGGTAGTAAGTGACACCCTGACGTTCAGCTTAGGGTCTATTTGACTCAAAACCTCATTTCCCAAGACAAACTGCAGGGCTCCCCATCCCAGCTCGGCTTCTTCCTGCACCCGCTTATGGAGCTTCTTAGAGCCTGTGGCTCCTCACTGTACAGTCAAGGAGGGTCCCCCCCACCACCACAGGACGGCGATAATCAGCCAGTTCTGATCCACGGAAGGTCTTTGATGCAAGCTCCTCCAGGGTTTGCAGAGCTGGTCTCAGAACTGCTCCTAATTGTGGTCACAGCGAGAGGCCGCTCCACAGCCCTGCTCGGTTCTGAGCAGGTGCGGGCGCTCTGCCTAAAGGGGTCCCTCCCATTTGGCTAGCAGGGCGCAAAAGGAGCCAGGCCCACCCCACCCCCCCGAAACCCAGTTAGGAGTGCCTGGTGTGGATGCTGACGTCCAGTTAGTACCCTGAGACCCCCGGTCTCCCCGTGGTGGGCACCGTCCGCCCGCTTCCTAGGTGTGACCTGGTTCTGGAGGTGGACAGGCCTTGGCCCTAGTCCCAGGGCTGCCACTTAGACGTGGAGCCAGCAAGTGACCCTCCCTGAGCTTCGGCTCTGCCCCCCATGAAGGTGAGGGTGGGAGGGTGGCAAGGTCCCATGCGCAGCAGGTGCTCAGCCCTCACCTCCGACCTCACCTTCGGCCTCCACCAGGTGGTCCATAAGGCTGTGCTGCAACTCCACGAGAAGGGCTTGGAGGCAGCCGGCCCCGCCGGGGTCACGCCAAACGTGGAGTCTGAGCCTCTCGCCTTCCACTTCAACCGGCCCTTCATTGTCATGATCTTCGACCACTTCACATGGAGCAGCCTTTTCCTGGGAAAGATTGTGAATCCGACCTAAGGGTGCACCCCCCACCCCGGGAAGCCGCAGCCCCAGCCGAGCCTGTGCACCAGGGACCCCACAGAAATGCTCTGAGGAGCAGCAGTGCCCCCCCCCACCGTCTTCTCCAGGTTCTTCTGTCCAAATAAATAACCATCACTGCAACTGCTGGCAGGTGCAGATGGAGTGGGGCAGTTGGCACACTCAGAATGATAGAAATGCGATATCGCAACGCGATAGAATTTCCTGGTCTTGATCCTTGTGCTGTGGGTGTGTAATGTGTGGAAGCCGGGTGAAGGGTGTAACAGAAACACGATTGCTTTTGTAAATTTTTGGAAGTCTGAGATTATTCTTTAATATTTTAATTAATTAAATCTTTTAATTAAAATTAATCTTTTAATTTAAAAGGAGAAATCATGCAAGGCCCAACAGAAAGACATCTCTGGTGCTGGGGGAGAATGACGTAACATCTTCAAAAAAAAAAAGAAGGAAACAAAGCAATCCTTCAAACACAAAGGCAAAATAAACATTTTTTTTTTCCAGACAAACCAAAGCTGAGAAAGTTTGTCACCATCCTACTATAAGAAAAATTTTAGGGATCCCTGGGTGGCGCAGCGGTTTGGCGCCTGCCTTTGGCCCAGGGTGCGATCCTGGAGACCCGGGATCGAATCCCACGTCGGGCTCCCGGTGCGTGGAGCCTGCTTCTCCCTCTGCCTGTGTCTCTGCCTCTCTCTCTCTCTGTGACTATCATAAATAAATAAAAATTCAAAAAAAATATTTAAAAAAAAAAAAAAAGAAAAATTTTAAGAGGCTCTTCAGGCTGAAACAAGATGATTCTCTTTATTATTATTATTTTATTTATTTATTCATGAGAGACACACAGAGAGAGGCAGAGACACAGGCAGAGGGAGAAGCAGGCTCCATGCAGGGAGCCTGATGCAGGACTTGATCCCAGGACCCCAGGATCACAATCTGAACCAAAGGCAGACGCTCAACTGCTGAGCCACCCAGGGGTCCCTGAAACAAGATGATTCGAAGTGAAAATTTGGACCCACACAAAAGAATGAAGAATGAATTTACCTGGAAAGGGTAAATACGTGAACAAATAGAAAATGTAAAGTATAATTAACTGTCTAGAGCAAAAGTAGTTAACAGTTTGTTGCTTCAAGCTCCTGTGCTCCCTTTATCCCTGCCCTGCAAAACCTGATCTGGACATGATGTTAAGCTTTGTCAATAGAGGGCGCGAGAGAAACGTTGCCTGAGGAGGAGGCTTACCCTCCTGGGTTAGGGCAAATAGCATTAAATGAGAGAAGGAAGAATTAGATGATAGATAGATGATTGATAGATAGATAGATGATAGATGATAGATAGATAGATAGATAGATAGATAGATAGATAGATAGATAGATATTAATAGATAAATAATTATTAAATTTATAGATAGCTGGGAAGATGACTGATTTTATATGTATAAAAAATATAAATATATAAAGAGTATATATAGTAAAAATATATAGAGTATATATATATATATACACACACACACACATTATATAGATAGTATATATATATATCAACTTACTTAATAAGAAAACACTAAATGCATTCCCACTAAGGTCAAGAGTAAGAAAGGGCTGATTATATCCACCACCATGTCACATCGTGCTGGGGGTATTAGGCAATACAATTAGACAAGAGAAAACAGAGGGATGGAATTGGAAAAAAGTGAAGTACAACACTACACGCAGATGGCCTGTCATATAGCTGCATAACTCTCACAAATTAGTGATAAAACAAACTCATGTAACAAAAGAATTCAGCTAGCCGTCAGGCTATCGCATCAACATGGAAAACCAAGAGCCTTCATCCACACAAATCACAACCAGTTAACTAATGGAGGAGAAAACCCAGTCGCAACCAAATATATATGTATACACACACATACACACACACACACACACACACACGCAACACTTAGAAATTGGGACGCCTCGGGGGCTCAGTGGTTGAGCACCTGCCTTTGCTTGGGTAGTGATTCCGGGATCCTGGGATCGAGTCCCACATCGGGCTCCCCGCAGGAAGCCTGCTTCTCCCTCTGCCTATGACTCTGCCTCTCTCTCTGTGTGTCTCTCATGAATAAATAAATAAAATCTTTATTTAAAAAAGGAAACAAGAAATTTGCAGAATCTACACTGAGACAATTATGACATGACTCCTTAAAGAAGCAAAATTAGACTTGAACAAATGGAAAGATACTCCTTCTTACATAAGACGCCTCAGTATCACCTGGATAGTCATCTTCTCTGGGTTAATTTAACAATTCAATGGTATTCCAATAAAAATACTAGCAATTTTTTTTTCTGGAGACAGACAAGATGATCCTGAAGTCCGTACAGAAAGACAGACATGCAAGAAGCCAGGAAACACTAATGGGAAAAACAGGGGTGTGGAGGGAGGGGCAGGGGCGAGGTAGGGAGGATAGAGGACCAGCATGAGCAGATATTTAAAGCAAACCACACAGATCCTCTAATTAATTCTGTGGCCCTGGTACATAAATCCGTGGGCAGCCCAATGACACAGGTTTGTGAGACTGGAAATAGATACCAGTACACATGGAAATTTAATATTCGAAAAAGAAAGACTTTTAAATAAATGGTATTAGGACAACTGGACAGTCCCCATAGGGAGGAAAGGATAAAAGTAGACCTAGTCTTCATACCATACGTAAGAATAAACTAGGAGTCAGAGATTCACGTGAAAAAAAAAGAAGAAGAAGCTAGAGAGAACACAAGAAAGCACCAGTCAATTCCTCTACAATTTAGGCATAGGACAAGGTTTTCTGAGCATGACTCACAGCCCAGATGAAATTAAAGAAAAGACTGGCAAATTGGACTCCATAAAAAGTATTTTTTTTTAACTGCTGGTCAAAAACCCAAAAGCAAAGTCAACAGAATTGAAACCTGGAGAGAATACACGTGCAAGGTCCGTCACTGGGGAAAAGCAGACGTCCCTCCTGTGTGCTGCTTGAACATATGAAAACATGCTCAGCTTCACACCTAGTTTTAAAAATACAAATTAAAACTCCACGGAGGTGCCACTCCCTGTCGGATTGGCAAAGTCCTGAGAGCGTCACACCACCCCCGCCAAGGGCGCAGAGACCGTGGTGCACGCATCCCTGGTGGGAAGGCTAAAAGCCAACTGATGCGACAAATCAGCGCACGGGGGTGGCTTCAGACGCAGCAGTGAGTCCATCCATAGTTCCGGAGGGCAAAAGTGGGAGGGCAAGGTGTCAGCAGGGTTTGTTCACGCAGGAGGCTGGGAGACACAATCCGTTCTGCACCTGTCTCCTAGCTCTGGTGGCTGCCACCGTCCTCGGCGTCCCACATTCTGGTCCCCTCCCCTGTCTTCACAGGGCCTCTTGAAGGCATCGGGAAGGCCTTGCTCTTGGAAGGTCAGCTGGCACTGGAGTTAGGCCCTAGATCCAGGGTGATCTGCTAGTCCTTGCCCTAATTCCAGCAGCAAAGACGCTCTTTCTAAATAAGGTCACAATTCACAGTCCTAACCCGGAGTTAGGACCAGGTTGTAGCTTTTTCAGGGACCAGGATTCAACCCAACACATATAACAAAAATGCAGACATGTTTACTTTTGATCCAGGAATTCTAGGAATTTAACCTAAAGAAAAACCTCCTCCAATTTTTAAAAATAATCTGCACAAGGTTATTCATTGGAGCATTACTTGTAATTACAAACTACAAAAAACTACTTAAATGAGCAAACATTGGCAACTGGTTGAGCAAACAATAGAGCACTATGAAGTTGTAAAAAGTAATAGTAATAAAGAGGACTTCTGCAAACTGAAAAAGAAATAAAGCATGCGTGCACCTCCCTGCAAGGGACCGGGTGGGGTATAGAGCAGAAGGGATGGGAGGAATGACATGTCTCTTCGGGGACCTCTTCCTGTGGTTTGGACTCTTGGAATAATGTTAATGTTCTATATATTCAAAAATAAAATTAAATGAACAAGATGAGGAGAACCCTAAAAGCAAATGAAAAGAAGAACAAAGGAATTCAAATGTATTTCAAATAGATAACCTAAGGAGGGCACTTGGTGGGATGAGCACCGGGTGTTATACTATGTGTTACAAATTGAATTTAAATTAAAAAAAAATTTTTTTTTAAATATAACCTAACCACACTACAGGGGAGAAAAAGGATTAACCCAAGGAACTTTTGAACATAGTACTTGGACGAAATGCCCACAGTTTGAAGAGTAAAAGACCACAAACAAACCTTGAAGGCTTTTTCTCAGGTTTGTTTTTCAAAGTGGAGTAGGTATAGCAAACATGACATTATTTATATCTTTTGTAGGGCTAAGCAAGAGGAAAGGTGACATACAAGAATAAGGAAGCAAGAAAGAATCCTGTAGGGTAGGGTGTGAATTAGAGGCATAAGGGGCTCCTGAGTCGCTCAATCAGTTAAGCATCTGGCTCTTGGTTTCAGCTCAGGTTGTGATCTCAGGGTCTTGGGATCAAGCCCCGCATCAGGCTCTGCCCTCAGTGTGGAGTCTGCTTGAGATTCTCTCTCCCTCTCCCTTTACTCCTCCCCTTGTTCCTGCTCTCCCCCGCTCTCTCTAATAAAAGAAATAAAATCTTTTTAAAAATTATAACTGAAGGTATAAGCATGGTTTCTAATACATTCCTAATATCTAGGTATGCCTGGGATGATTTAAACATCTAATAAATGCAAACATGGATACATATACATTGATAATAAGATCAGTAATGGATTAAAATGCACTAAATAAAATTGAGCCCATGAATCTTTACTGAGAATGTCGATAAATATAAAAGGAATAGGGATTTAGACCATCATCTTAAAAACTGATTCAGGCAAGGGCGTTCCATGGATATACATCAGGGAGGCATGAGGAATTTGATGAAAAACAGGATATTTAAGTTTGTTTCCAAGTATCCCCCTCACAAATGACTTATTGCAGGAGACATGGTAAGTGTATCTTGGAGAAATGGATATCCCCTTAACCAAGTCGTTAAATATACATCATCAGTTAGGGGCAAACAGACATCAGGCACCTCTGGACGTGATATTCTGAGGACCCAATATTTTTTTCATATTCCTGCCACCAAAAATGTATAATCAGAAGCTAATCAAGATACATTAGACCAACCCAAACTGAGAACCGATAACATAGCTGACCGAGCCTTTCAAAATATTAACATGATGAAAAGCACCGGATGAGCTGGAGAAGCATCCCAGGTTCAAGGAGACCAAGGGACATGGCATCAAATGCAACAGACAGCCATAGACGGTTCCTAAATAGCAAATAGAAATGCCACAAAGGACACTTCTGGGGCAATTGGCAAAACTAGAGGATGATTGTAGCTTCAGGTATCGTAACAATACTAAATTTTTGGATTTGATCATTTTCTGCCATTTACATAAAATAATATTCTTATCCCCCAGGATACCTAACCCTTTCAAATGGTTCAGAATAAGACAATTCGGGGTGGGAGGGGGAGGGGTGCATGCGGATATAGACATAGAGGAGAGAATTGTAAAACACGTGGGAAAGGTTTAAAAAGTAAGTGATTCTGGGTAAGGGGTTATAAAAATTCTTTGTAGCTATCCTTGCAACTTAAAGTTTGAAATTATGGGGCATCCAGGTGGCTCACTGGTTGAGCGTCTGCCTTC